GATCACCACCCCTCCCAAAAAAAATCGAAATAAGTGCCCCCTCAATTGGCTTGACTTGTGCTATGCCATTGCCTATATATTTATGGTGCGATCGTACGAACACGGAAGGTTACAAGTTCATGCACCTTAGCAATGGGTTACTTCCACTTTGTGATTTCTTTATCACAGCTCCTCTTACATCTTTAGCATCATCTCACAATTTTGTAAGCACATTTTCCATTCAATGTGGTTTCGGGAGACGGGACTTTTGTGGCACTCCAAAGGGCGATAAAAGTTGCGCCCTCTCATCGTTAAAAATGGTAACGATGGTAAACGAGAAGATCATTGACACAGGGATGGAAAATACAGAAACAGCAGGACTCCGAGAAAAGGATAAGGAGAGGATTCAGTATTCTACCCCTTCTTGCCAATCAATTTCACTTTCAAATTTGGCCTTCTATTTACTTTGCATGTATGGTACCATATTTACCAACGGATTAACCATTGTGACGTCTGATAACCTCGTTTACTCTTTTTTGAATGGTATTTAAAAATCAAACAGGTTCATAACTATACCATAGTTGTACATAGTTGTATTAATTACAGAACAGAAGCACCTTCCACCCTTTCTCTCTCTCTCGCTCTCCCCCTCCATCTTCCTCCCTCTCTCTCTCTCCATTGAAAGGTCCTTTCCTTTCTCTCTCTTTCCATCCATCCCTCTCTCTCTTCCTCTTTCTTTCTCTGTAAGGAATTTACGTTTAACTAAATAGAAAATAATAAAGGAAATGAGACATGATGTATGATTACGTTTACATCACGCTATAAAGCGTGAGACCATTAACTATATTAAAACGAGTGTTTTCTTCTTTGTTCTCTGTATGACAAATAAACTATATTGATATTGCTCGCACATAAATTATGAACCATTAGAACTGCTGATCTTAAATCCGAATCTGTTTGTTGTTGAGGAGACTGAAGTATTGCGACGTATTCGTATATAATAAACATAAACAAATAAAACAAATGCCAGGTTAAACTCAACAACATGTACAGTGATCGTAAAAACGACACAAGTGCTCCTGTTTATTACATGATTTATGACATTTTCAACGTCTTGTGTTATTTCTGTACCGTTTCCAAAAAATATAAAGTCCCTCTTGTGAAGACCAAAATAGAACTATTGTTATTTCTTCTTTTGTATATCTCACTCCCTCTTTAGATTACCGATTGTACCAACTTGAAGATTTAATGTACGATTAGGACCACTGTTTTCGTCTAAATTCGCTAGAAAACTGACTGATTTACGGAGAAAGTGCTCTAGAAGCTCATATCATTGTGACAAAAGATGGAATTATTTCAATTATTGTTTTATTGGAAGCTGAATAAATATGCAATCTATAAAAACGCTCATTGGGTTCGTGTGACCGTTTCATTTTAATGAGGCGTGAAAACAGGAAAAGTTTGGCACACTTTTGGTGGAGGGCAAAAGGTAACGGGTACTTTGCATTGAGAATTGAAATTCTAGGTTAGACACTTCGCCGCGATCGTCATCTAATCATCATTATCATCGCGATCATCTAGTTTTTGTTGTTGTCCTTCCTTCTCATCATCCTCTTACTTGAAACTCCCTCATCACCACCACCACCATCATCATCATCATCATCATCATCTTCATCATCATCATCATCATCATCATCTTCATCATCATCATCATCATCATCATCATCATCTTCATCATCATCATCATCTTCATCATCATCATCATCATCATCATCATCATCATCTTCATCATCATCATCATCATCATCTTCATCATCATCATCATCATCATCATCATCATCATCTTCATCATCATCATCATCTTCATCATCATCATCATCATCATCATCTTCATCATCATCATCATCATCTTCATCATCATCATCGCCGTCGTCCTTATTCTCATAATCTTCTCCCTCCTCCTCCTCCTCCTCCTCCTCCTCCTCATTCTCATCGCCATCCTCCTCATCCTCTTCTCCCCCTCTATCCCTCCACTATCCTCTTCTTCTCATCATTATCATGAGGTTTCTTATAAGCAATCCAGGGGGGTGTTTCACAAAGATCTTAAGTTGAACTTATCTCTAAGTTGGACTTAAAAATTATGGAAAGCCATTAGCATCTTTGAAAATATTTTGTAAAAGTTATTTTGAAAGGCATAAAATGTTGATTCAAATCATTCATATTTTCTATCCTCAAGGAGATTTCATGTTCTGGATGTGGAATTTATAAAAAGTCTAAAATACTTGAATTTCTGCTTTTGAATATATTTCGTTTTAAGGCTCCAATGGCTGTCCATAACTTTTAAGTCCAACTTAGTGTTAAGTTCTACTTAGGATCTTTGTGAAACACCCCCCTGAACAAGTTAGTACGAAGCATCCACTATACGTGTGTGCAGAGAAAACGCTATACACACACTCCCCTCGCAATTCTGAGGATGATGCGAGTTTCTCCCGGTAGCCCATCGAAATAAAGCATTCAAGATGTACCTTTTAGATGTAGAAACGACATGATAGTGAAGACTCCCCAGTGATCAACTCAGGGAAATACCTTTACCCTGTGTTTTCAGTATGTGACATGTTATCAGGTTTTATCGTCGTCTGTGTTTTCAAAAATGCTATTGAATTTGCCCGAGGTTGATTTCTCGACACTTTCGCCATCGTGCTCAACTTTCCTTTTAATAATTAAACAGCATTAGTAAGAGTTGGCGACCAGAGACCATATCGTATTCGAGCGTACTTTCATCTAAAGTATCTTTTTTCTTTCTGTTTATGTTGTCAAGTTGCCGATGTCTTCGTGTGAAAATAGACGGGCAATAGAGGGCGCTCCAATTATATGTAGGCAAATAGGGCTTGAGTATCACCACAAGATGAGTCCATTGCTCCTCCGATATTTACTCCGCAAAACGCAACTAATGGCAACTAGAGGCTTTTGTCAGAAGTGTGAGAATAGGCATTTATGAGAAGGGAAAGGAGCTCTCAAAATGAAGGGGCACTCATCAGAGACGAAAAGGGAAATTATTTGACAGGGAAGGGGCATTTATCATAAAGGAAAAGGCACTTATTAAAGTAAAAGGGGCGCCTTCCAAGTTTGAATAGGGGCAAATATGCGGAGCAATTGTTGGCGGAGAAATTGTCGGTGGAGCAATTGTCGGCAGAGCAATCGTCGCTTTTAGCAGACTAATTTGTCACCGGAGCAATCGTCGCCGGAGCATGTGTCGGGTTTAATAACCACAAGATGTATCAATCAATCTAATAACATCAACGTTCGCATCCTAACGGGTACCCATTGCACCCCTGGGTGAAGTGTGGTAAACGTGGATTTTTGTGTCTTTCCAAAGGACGTTAGTGCCACGGTGCGGGCCACGGTGAGGCCCGAACCGCGAACCTAGTGATCCACAATGCGGTGACACATCCACTAGACCACGGTACCTCTGCATATTATAAGAGGTGATGGGGGCACTTATCAGTATCTTGTACCTGAAAAGGGGCACTCGTCTTAAATGACTAGAGGCACTTATGAGAATGGAAAGGGGCAATCATTACAAAGGAAAATGGGCACTTGTCGAAGAAAAAGGGGCAACTATCAGATTTTAATAAAGACATTAATCAGTGTGAGAATGGGCATTTTTGAGAAGGGGAAGGAGCTTTTATCAAAAATTAAAAGGGGTATTTATCAGATGGGAAAGAGCACTTATTAGAAAGAAAAAATGCGTACCTGTCAAAATGAAGGGGAGATGAAAAGAGATGAAAAGCGGCACTCATCAAGAGATGAAAAGGAGACTTATTAAAGTAAAAGGGGCGCCTTTCAAATTTCAATAGGGGCTATTATAAGAATGTAGAACGGTATGTCCCCGTACTACTGTACTAGAAATAAAAAGGGGCACTTATCTGAAGTAAAATGTAGCACTTTTTCCATGTAAAAAGGGGCACTTCGGGTATACGTGCCCCTCCCCCCTCGGATGCGCCGCCTTTTAGACAGACATTAGAAGGATCAGAAACTTTGTATTTATTCCGAATGGCCAAGATTCCTTTGTAAAGCGGTCTCTCTTTCGATAAGATTGAAAATGTCTCGTTTTACGCTTCTTGTTACAAAGAGAACAGATATAATTCGTTCTCAATCTAATTGTTTGACAAGCGTTTCATAGCACCGTTATCTTAATCAAACTATGTAAAATGAGGATGGCCTATGGCTGTAGATTACGAAGTCCGAAGGTACACAAGATAGGTTGTCTGGGACTATATACCTCAGTCACAATGGCGAGACCTACACCAAACCGAAAATACACCGAACAAAACAATACATGGCTAGGGTAGGAATCGTTTTCTTGTCTGGTTTAATGATAGCATACCGGTGAGGCCGAAACCAGACCGACAACAGACAAAACATAGCAATACAACCCAGAAATAATGTCTTTAGAGTCAGGTATGAATCCTTGTCATGTCCCGGTCACACTTTCGAGATCGAAAGAAAAAAAAAATGAACATGAAAATGACTAAGTACTTTATCATTATTATTATTACTATTATTGTTTTAAACGAATAAGGAAATGTATAAAAGAGTTGTTTTGTTTAGCAATTAAACTTTTAAATTGTATTTTGATTATTCTGAATATGATGTCAATTCAGTATGATGTAAATTGCAGGATTTTGATTACCGGTATATGTATGTACTGCCTCTGGTATTGAGAAAATAAAACACCTTAATTATAAAAAAAAAGATTTAAAAAAGACACCTGACTGACAATAGATCAAACATGACAATTCATTACCCCCCCCCCCTCCCCTCCCCACCTTGGCTAAACATTGGTCGGCTTGGAATCAACTTGAAGTTGGTGTGGCGGTGTGCATGCCTTGGGTATTATTGGAAGACGTCATTGGTGGTTTTGCCATTAAAGAAGTCCCGTGTTTATACTCTAATCTATGATCAATACCCAGTTACTCGAGTATGTGTTTATGCATCAGAGAGTCTCAATACTATAGAGAACAGATAATCCGCGTTCCTATTGTGTGCTGATGACACGTACCCCTATACGACCGATGGTCCAGAAGAAAATGGCGCTTTGCACTTCTCCCGGTCTTCTGCACGGTGAAAGTGGTTCCTGATAACAAAATCGACTCAAAGTGGACAGTAGTTTTGAGTGACGTCAATAATTTCGCATCGAAAACGAACATCGTTATACGACGATTTCAACTGTTAGGACTGGTATAGGAAAGGAGCTACTGTGGACCAACCGTAAAGCAAGACCAGTTTGTGGTATACAGGTGTTTATTACAAGCGCGACGAAAGTGGAGAAAGTGACACACAATGCCGAAGATAATACATATAGATACGTACACACAGCTGACTAGACACACACTGTAAGTAATGTACATATGTAATAGACCGTTTTACTAACATATTCAAATTTACGGATATTTCTTTCCTGGGGACTTAGTGATGGGTTATTCCATTAACCTGCTGTTAATTAATGAACTACAATACCCGAAATCTAGTCTGCATACATTACTTGTTGATTATGTCTACCAAGTCACGGGAAAGCATTCATGTTGTCGAGAACAACCTTTGTTCAAAAAGTATGCATAACATTTGAATATGTTAGTAAACCAGTATAGTGTGAGTAACACCAGGTAAACTATTATGCTATTACGCTTCTGAATGTATTTTACTTATAAAGATAAGGTAAAATATAATTATGTAAAAGAGGTGGATTTATAGTTTACAAAATGCTACCCACTTCGTGCACTCAGTCCCAGCTAGTCTGAACATACCAAGATTCAACTCCTAGACCAATGAATTGAAGTAAACAGTACTGATGACGCAATTATTTGAGATAACCACAGGACGTTTTTTTAAAGTAATACTTTGTCTAAAGATTTGAAGGCTCCTCAATTCTTAGACAAAGTACAAAAAGGATTATAATAGAAGAAAGGTGAAACTATAGCAGTATAAAGCAACTAAGTACCCACCAAGTGTTTGATGTTAGCATGACAAACATATTTGTCTCATTAAACCGTTTTGTTGGTCACAGTATCTTTAATGATAAATTTGAGTTAGCGTCATGTTTGTTTCCACCACCGATCATTATGCAAATGAGGTACAACATGGTGATGTATATATGAAGAGTGCATTTTCGTACGAGTCTCTTCGTCTTGTCTATTCGTCTATTCAATTAAACCCAAGCTACATTATCTCAGACTGTATTCAACGTAATAATAAAGTATTACGTAATACAAGGCACCATTTTGAATTTGTATTACTGTTGGGGAACACTACCCGGAAAAGATTTATCGATTGAATCGAAACACGGGTCTTGCCAAGAAGCTTTCACAGAGCTGACTATATACATGCACAAATAATCGTATATTATTGCTTCTGCCTGCGTGTATGTCAATTACGAATAGTATAAAACCTTACGTGAAAAGACAATATATAAAGTGCTATTAAATACTTGCTTAGCTTAAAGGTAAAGACCAGTATTGGAAACGCCCCAATTTCAAAAAATGAAATGGAAGCTCTTATTACCAATCATGTGAAATAATATGTTTTGACTAATACATGATGATACAAATTTTGCCGGGAAACCGCCTACTAATTGATATATTTGGTAAATTAGTTTATCTATTGGTCTGAGAGATAAACGCACGTGTCGCGCACGTGTGCGTATAGTCCCACATACATCTTTCTGTGTACAGTGCTTGTAACTTTATGAAGACTGGGCCAATTTTTTTTCTTCATTTTGATGATTCCAGAACCTTGTAGTACACACAAATACTTATATGCTAGATGATCAACCTTTTCTGATCGATTCCACAACGTTTCTTTCACAATGCAATCGCATGACCATAACTGGTCTTTACCTTTAATAATGAAAAATACAAATCCTGTTGTTCTTGATCATCTGATTCTTCGAGATTCTCTGGATTCGAGAGATATATTGTACCGTTACTCACACTACACTTCTTCTTCGTTGCTACTATTACTAGAGCTTCAACTGTTCGACTACTACTACTACTACTACTTTTACTAGTATCACTTCTACTTCTACTTCTACTACTGCTGGTACTAAGACGGATTATCCTACTACTACTACTACTACTACTACTACTACTGTACTACTCGTGCTTCTACTACCTCTACTACTTCTACTACTATGACAACGACGCCGACTTATACTACTACTACTACTACTACTACTACTACTACTACTACTAATACAACTACTACTACTACTACTACTACTACTACTACTACTACTAATACAACTACTACTACTACTACTACTACTATACTACTACTGATACTACTACTACTACTATTATACTAAACCTATTACTACTAATACTACCACCACTCCTAATACTACTATGACAACGACGACGACTGATTCTACTACTACTACAACTACTACTACTTCTCATTCTACTAATACGATTTATATTTCTACTACTCGTAGGGATGTGGTGGTATATTGGTTCGTTCACTTGACTCTAAGTCCAAGGGTTAAGGGTTCAAATCCATGCCCGGTACTAACGTCATTTGGCAAGACAATAATACACTTTTTGCCACTCACCCCTGGTGTAAATGCTGGAGTAATAATAATTGCAGGGCCGTCAGGAAGACCAGCACTGATGCTGACGAGGCTTCCGTAGTTAATTATAATGAAATAATAATTTCAATTAAAAAAAAAATCAATAACGATGATAATAATAGTAATAAAAATAAGATTGATTAATAGAAGTGGTAAGGTTGCACTATATTTTATACGTGCATTTTTAACCCAAACTTCAGTTCATTAGTATGATATTGACGTTGTGATAACCCTATAACCTACATGTAGCTCACAATCAAATTCCTTTCAAATTTCAAAGTACAATATTAGCGACAAGATCACAATATGAATCAATTAGTGACTTATTATGATAACGTTATCGTGCTACATTAAACAAATAATTCATGTTTGTGAGTGCACGAGTGAATATGCACGCAGATTAGGTCACCGTCGGATAACGAAGAAGACTTCTCGAGTTCATTTTCCAGCTCATTGTGACTACATTTATTTATTTATTTATTTATTTCTGATACTTAGACAGGGTGACTCATTATCACCAATAATGGTGGACTTCCATGAGGCCCTGATAAAGGTACTATGTCCCATTTGCAGGCCAAAAAAATGAAAAAGTTAAATTCCAACTGCATTTGAAAGATAATACTAATTTAGAACTTCCCTAAAAAGGTGGGGCTTGAAAATGTCTTCAAGTAGGAAAATAACGACTATTAGTTGTCAAATCGACTTTAGGGCTATAGAGCCCAAAAGGAATAGTCTTGATTTTCGGACAATTGTACTGAATGGTCATACGTTTTATGCTGCGCAAAGATTCAATCAGTTTAATCTTGGCCATCACAAGAAGTGGGTTATTGATGTAGACAAATGCTCATGTACCTTTACAACTCTTTTCATGTATGTTATTACCAAAGAAGAAAAAAGCCAGTCAGTCACTCAATAGTGTCTGACAGTGAAGTCTAGCAAGTAAATGGGTTTCCTTGTATAATTTGAATATTAGGACACTGCTAACGTTTAAATTCACAGATAGGACATACATGACATATTCATGATTCCTGCAAAGTTCTACAGAATTTGAGGTTGGCTGCAAAAGGGACATAGTACCTTTAAGCATAATGACAGGCGCGGATCTACGGGGGGGGTTTAGGGGGTTTAAACCCCCCCCCCCTTGGGCGGCCCCCCCCCCAAAAAAAAAAAAAAAAAAAGGAAAAAAAAAAGAAAAAAAGAAAGAAAAAAGAACGCACGCTGGAGAGAAACCCTTTCAAGTGCAAATATTGTGAGAAGATATTCAACTCATCTGGTAACTTAACCAAACACATGATAACTCTGGATATAACTGTGTATTTACTGTTACTTGATTTAAAAAGATGTTATCATGCACTGCTTTTTATGGTCTCCATTGTGTTAATAGATGCCAGGAAAACATCACTTACGGAGTTCAAATAAACACCCCAAAAAAAATCGGCTCGCCGCTTCGCGGCTCGTGGACGATGCTCCGCATCGTCATTATTTTGGTCAACCCCCCCCCCTTAGCAAAAAGCTATATCCGCCCCTGAATGAGGAATGATAGTTTAAAACATGTATATAATAATAACAATAATAATAATAATAACAAAATCATGAACATAAATTCATAACAGCAATAAAGAATAGGTATTTGGTATCCTCTTAATGAATGAATGGTTTGTCTGTTTTTGTTTTGATTTGCTTTTTCGTTCAAGAAAACGTTGCTGCATATATTTTATCTTAATGTAACATTATAGTATAGACGGTATTCCGTTTTTAGATCCGATGAAAAAGAACTAATATCACATTTCGGGATGTATTACTTTAACAAAAAGGCAACATATGCTTTTGAGAGTTCATAACAAAGTATAGAGACTACTAACTTAGGCTCAGCAAAGAAAGACATTAGGGATACCAAAATTGTTATATACATATTTAAACCCAAACTTATATACTTAACCGAGTGCAGTGCATAAAACTAATATCTTGATTTCAAAACAGAAATTATTCATTTTATAAAAAAAATAATCAACTATATGCATAATCCTGAAATAGACAGGTAAACGGAAGCCTTTTCCCTGATTCGTGTAAATTTTTCCTCTCCCACAGTATTGAATGAAGTTGATAGTCATCCTTTATGTTTACGGAATACGCTTCGATAAAGGTTCACTTTTCCAAACTGCCAGCTTGCTATTTTCATAATCACAATCAATCTTGATATGAGCATAGTATTGTTTTTAAATTCCTTTTCTTTCTCTTTTTTGTTGTTGTTTACAGCTTGAACGAGCAGGATTGATCATACAGCTGCTGTTTGGACAAGGGCCTGTTTTCGGCACATCGCTCTCTTTCGATCAGCAAGATGGTACTACGATCAAGTGTTATCGAGGGCCTCATCTTCCTACTCGTCATCATCTACATGGCGAAGGTATTGGTAGTGATGACCTACCTTGATTCATCTAAGGAAGCTCTCATGGGACCGCGTCATTCAGCAGAGGTCTTCAAGGGCCAGGAGGGCGCCCTACATGCCAACTCGAAAGTCCGATCTATTCTACAGGACAGCGCGAAGATTGCTGAAACCCATAATGCTGATACCTACAATGCCGAGATCCGACATCCGGAAGAGAAAAAAGCCGATCCCAAGGATGGGGTTGGTCAACCGAATCCAATCAAAGTCGAGGTTGTAATTGAGAAGGAAGAAAAAGATATCGACGACGATAAAGATGACGACGAGGCCAACGACTTTGCAGGGATGAATGCCGAATTGTTTGCCAATGTTCTCAAAACGCAGTATGATCACTCCTCCAAGTGCTCGGAAGAGAATTTATTTCTGATACTGCTTATCAATTCCAAACCTGAGAACTTAGACTTCCGGATCATGATCCGAGAAACGTGGGCAAATGCCCCGGACGCTGAGACCCAAGGTGTTCTTGCAATGTTTGTCTTAGGAAAGCCAAGAGATCGACCAAGGTTAGATGCCACAATCTACGAGGAAAACGATCGCTATGATGATATCATCTTGGGGAACTTCTACGATGATTTCAGAAATTCTTCCCTTCGAGCACTCACGGGTATGAAGTGGGTGTCTTCACATTGCTCCTCGGCAAAGTTTGTGTTTATGGGGGACGACCATATCTACCTCAACATGGGAAGGCTGGTGAAGTCTCTGAGAGCCCTGCATGTTCAAGAAAATGACAAGAGCATGTGGCGTGGAAGAATTAGGACTACATCGAGAGCAATACGCGACAGAAACAGCAGGTACTATGTATCAGAGCGCCTCTTCGAACGATCCGTGTATCCTCCATTCTGTACCCTTGAAGCTGGTTTCGTTTTATCGATGTCTGCCGTTCACGAACTCTACCGAGATTCATTTGACAGGTCTATAGTGCCATTCGGTGACGTCTTCATAGGAATTGTTGCAGACGAATTAAAGTGGAAAGTCGTAGAGGATGGCCTTTTCAACTATCGAGAATACGAAACTGTCTGTGAACTCGGCAAGGTTTTTACTCTGAGAGGTATGTCGACACCTGGTCAAATAAAAAATGCATTTGACAAGATAAGTAACGAGACCTTTTTGAGGGAATGTCCAGACCCAGACCTAGACCTTGTGTTGACGGGGCTTGCTGACAACGAACCTTACTTAGACACTGTCCTAAAGATGGTCCACGACCGTCCCAAATTCTGCTACAATGATGAGGGTCAGGAAGAAAAGATATTTATTCTGAATTTAGTCAGTACCCTTCCTCGTCATTTTGAGGCCCGTCAAGCGATTCGGGAGACGTGGGGCAGTCAGAATGAGATACTTGGTGAGACCGTGAAGACATTATTCGTGATGGGTCTAACCCAAAGGGATACAGAGGAGATCCAAAAGCAAGTCCAAGTGGAGGATGACGCAAATAGCGATATCATCCAAGCAGAGTTTCAGGAATCCTTTGGCAACCTCACCCTGAAGGTTGTCATGGGGTTGAAATGGGTGACCCAGAATTGTGCTCACGCCACCTACATCTACAAAGGAGACGACGACATGTTTGTCAATTTCCCGAACATCATCAATCTTCTGAAGAAAGAGCGAAGCAGTGGCAGAGCCATCAGCAAGTACTTCATGGGATCTGTGCTCTTCCGGAGCGTCAGGATCACCCGCAAAGACTCCAAGTATCATGTGAACGACAAGTTCTACAGCGGTCGCTACTTCCCGCCATATTGTTCGGGTGGTGGATACATCATATCAACGGACGTGGTGCCTTCTATGTACGAGCAGGCACTGAAGACTGCTTTCATCCCCATCGACGATGCCTATCAGGGTATCTTGGCGAAGAAGGTTGGGGTGGTCCCCCGGTATAACGGCGGGTTTAAGAACTGGGGAGAGAAGAGCGATACATGCTCGCTAAGAAGAGAAGAATTGATGACCATTCATGGGTTTAAGGACCCTAATGCCATGTATGAGGTATGGCGAAACTTTACAGACACCTCCGTCAAGTGTGGCGCCAATCGTAGGTGACGAAGGATCGCTTACCAATCAAAGTTGTATCAAGCACAACACAGATAGGGTCCTATTGATTAAACTGACGATATCACAGCTATTCCGCTTCCTAGACTTTTGTTTGAATCTTTACAATTATTTTTAATAAAGCAATTCCTAGCAAAGAGATGTATCATTTGTTACTTCAATTTTCTTATTTTTAGAACAACATGTATTTTCTTCAACCTGTATATTAATGCTATCTGCCTCTTTTCCAAAGATGAATGACACATTTTTACATGAGATGAGGCCATTTTATTTTAATTTATTTTAATTATTTGCTAGATCAAAGTGGAGGAAGTTATTGTGCAATACAGCGCCATCATGCGACAAAGTCCAACCAGTCTCTGATATTAAAGTTCTTGTTGAGATGATTATAAGTGCTTAAAACTCAAATTTCTATACCATGTACAATGCTATTTTGTGTTTATGGTGTTTCCCATGTACACATTTAAAAAGAAAGCTTGGTATGATTCATTTCAACTGAGATTGGCCTTTATTACGAATTTTAAGGAGTCAATTATCTATACATAAATACACCTTTTTGGTTGAGTTAAAGATGCTCGTCACTATATAGCCTTTATTTATCTGATGGATCATTAATGCTGGAGAGTAGGCTGAAAATAGTTTTATTTTTATGTGCCACATCGTTTTCATGGTTTGAAATTTTAAAAAATCATCCTAGGATGTCATTTATATCTTATCACTGAATGAAAGTGAAGAATGGAAAGCGAAAAATCACCTGAAAATAGTCCACATTTAAATGCGATACGAGGTCCCAATCCTTTTGATGAGTAATAGGAAAGTTTGTTGGCATATTCCAGGATTTTATCTCTACACGATGTCAAATCCTGTATTTCTAGTCGCAGATTTTTTGTAGATGTATTTTTCTAATATTTTGGAAAATATGTATATATTACCTGGCCTTGGGAATGGGTGTGACACGAGCAACTTTCATTTTTATTGGGATGGTACCACTTCTTAAACAATTGTTACAAATAGCGGAAAAGGGTTCACTTAATATAGAAATTATTTGTTTACAACCTTGATATCTATGTCATCCACATCAGATCTAGTATTACTTTTCATTTTCTCAGCTATTGTTATTATTTCATTTTTTGTTATAGGCTTGAAAAAATAGAATGGTAATTTAGAGTTTCCAGATAATTATCAAATGAGATAATCCGTGCAAAATTTGCATTTTGGTCAGCCCCCACATTCATAAATAAAATCTCTGACTAAACATCGAAATAATCAAGTTATGATATCTTAACCCTAATGACAATGTATATATAATGTTTGAGCGCCAGAGCGTCACGGCATGACTCACAGTCATGTGCACTATCTTATAGATAAAAGAAGCCACCGTTCTTTTCCTTTTTATTCTTCCCTTTTTCTTCTTTTACTTTTTATTAGCAGTACTATTATTAGTAATATTATTAGTATTATCATTATTATTGTTATTATTATTATTATTATCATTATTATTATTACAATCATCATTATTATTATCATCATCAATAATTAATATTATATTTTTGATCAATGAAATCCTATTCACTGATTAGTCAACAAAGCATCATGTGACCAAACATGACATTAATATGATGTAACCGTGACGTCATCCATGGTATAGTATAGTATTAATGACTGCTTTGAGAGAAATAGTTGTTTTATTACGCTCAAGGGAAGGTTAGAATTGTGCTATTCCCCGAGGCTTGCCGAGGGGAATAGCCCAATTGTAACCTTCCCGAGAGCGTATGAAAACAACTATTTCTCGAATATTAAAGCAGTCATTAATACTTTTATATGCCGAAAAAAATAGACTAAAAAATGAAAAATGAAAAATATTTATCATTTTGTCGAAGACGGGATTTGAACCCTTGCGTACAACAAGAGGTGTACCGAAAACTAACGCTTAGACCACTCGGCTATGGCCCGCCGTTAACATGCTTGGCAGTTTTCTCCAATATATACATTAAAATGAATTGAAACCTGCTTCGCGTGTGATGAATGCTTCGCAAAAGCTCCATATACGGACTCTTCTTTTACTTTTGCAATGCATATTGGCACGAACTTAGATCAAGATCTATCGGCAGATGTTGTTTTTTTGTTTTTGGAAGTTTATTTTCGTCTTCATGTCAACAATGCAAGATAAAATTGTCGGTAAGATCGATCGAGATTCAATTGTATTGAAATTACCGACCAATCCTTCGCACACATACGGCATCCTCCATCGCTCAAACCATTTTTTAACATGTAAACCTATGGGGTAACCATGGAGGCTGACCAACTGTTTTTAATAACCATGGTTATTAAAAATATTGAAATGTTTTATGCATGGTTACCGAGAATTTTACAGGAACAGTTGAAGTTTATGAATGCAATTCGACCAATCAGATGGCTGGATTTCTTAAGTGAGGTATATAATGGAAACTATACCATGGCACTATACCATGGGTGACGTCATATATATGCGATCGATCAAGATCAATGTGCTATTGGTCGCGGTCGCGGTACCGTCGTCTGTCACTACTTCAGTGACAGTTAACATAATTATTATTATTATTTTTATGAAGGTTGGTTTGAAAAATATAAAACAAATATATCATGCACTATTTCAAGCCACTAGTTAAAATTATGGAATCTTCGGCGACAGAAAATAGTGCTATTCCTGCCACCTCGATCTATAATTTCAACTAGAGCCTCTCAGTGCATGGTATATTTGTTTACTATTATCATTATCACTTTCATTAATATCATCATCATCATTTAGATCGTCAGAGAAATTATTAGAAAACGACTTCTTATTACAGTAGGCAATTTTTGTGTCAGTGTGCAAGAACATGTCGATCAGGATATATACATTACAATACATTTTACATAAGTGCTGAATTTATTTGAAATATTGATTTTAAGTGATATATTGCAGTTATTTAAATTGCTCTTGGATATGATTGTCCGTATGCTACTAATTCATTTAAACCCGCTTCTGGGTCTACAATAATGGTTACCAAATGGAAAACGTAGACCTCAGAGACTAATTTTCCTTCTTAAACCCGACTTTAAACAAAAGCTTAAAGATAAAGTTGAGTTCTGGTCATCCGATTGCATTGTGAAAGGAACGATGTGGAATCGATCAGAAAAGGTTGATCATCTAGCATATAAGTATTGGTGTGTAATGCAAGGTTCGGGAGTCATCAAATTGATAAGAAATTTGGCCCAGTCTTGGTAAAGTTACAAGCACTGTACACAGAAAGATGTATATTGGACTACACGAACATGTGGCATAAAAATCCTTCCCGATCTTTATGATGGTACATGCCATATTTAGAATATGAAGGCATTTGAAGAGCCATGCTTTTCAGGGAACATTTTTTATATGATGTTCTTCCACGCTTGCATAATATCAATGATAACGCTCACAAATTATTGTTCACCTCTACCCAGAACTCAACCTTCTCTTAATCCCAGCATCGGGTTAAAAATTTAGTAGAATACGGGTTGTTGAGCTCATGACGTTAAATCAACTAAAGTAAGGGTTTAGAACAATATGCTTCTACCTAATTAATTAAAATTTTGATTATTGAATCAGAATAAATTTTATTGCACCTTACTTAAAAATGTTTGCCTTTATTTTATTGTGACACAATATACTATCACCCCGAAGGCTACTGTCCGTACACAATATATTTCAGTGTCGAAATTGAATGTTACCATCATCTCTACGAATACTAAGGAGACAGAGTGGGAGGGTGTCAAAGATAGGGAGGAAACAGACTGGGAGATAGAGAGAGAGAGAGAGAGAGAGAGAGAGAGAGAGAGAGAGAGAGAGAGAGAGAGAGCGAGAGAGACATGAGAGAAAGAGAGGAGAGAGAAAGAGAGAGAGAGAGAGAGAGAGGGGGGGGGGGGGGGTAACGATTGAATGAGTGAAGGCTCTTGACCCTCATATAAGAGGTTCTGGGTTCGATTGTCTCTTGGCATGCTCGATGTGTACATCCTCGGACAAGCTATGTTGTCCACATTATGTCCCACTGCATCCAAGAGTGAATGGGTGACTGCATGGCAGAAATTGCTGGGGAAATAATAATTGCACGGCTCGCAAGTATAGCCACTGATCAGATGTGTCTACCCTGCATAAATTAGACCCAAATATTGTTTATTAAGAAATGTGACGGCGGGGGTGTCAGCGCTTTGAGCATGTTTATGTAAAGGCGCTATATAAATATCAACTTGTATGTATGTACATGTATATTAAGGAAGGGGGTGTATACAAATGTGTATGAATGTATAATATACAAAGGAGAAAATAGGAAGAAAGTTAACAGATGCTCTCACACTATGAACATGACGGACAAAGAAAGCGGACAAAATATACAGTTCCTCAGGTGGATAACGGAACATCCATTCACTGCTATTATGTAAAAATGTGTAATAATAATAATAATAATAATAATAATAATGTAACTTATATCGCGCCAAATCCACTCTGTAGAACATGTTACATGCATATTCACCTGTTCTACACATTTTTACATAATAGCAGTGAAGGGATGTTCCTTTGTCTACCTGAGGAACTGTTTATTTTGTCCGCTTTCTTTGTCCGTCATTTTCATAGTGTCAAATGGTGCTTTCGCAAGTACGGCATGTCTACATTTAAATACACAGATATTTATTTCAAAATAAGCGGTTTGAGCAAGTTGGGAGGGGGGGGGGGGAGGAGCAATGTTTGACTTTAAGAAAAATTAACAGATTGTATTTCAGCACCTTCTCTCATAAACATGAAACATGGCTCTGATTATTGTATGTGACTTGTTGTGACTCGAAGGAGCATCACCAAAAGGTCATTTCTAATGTCAGTGATTTCCCCCGATGATGAGAAAAGCATGATGAAAAAGCAGATGTACTAGCTCGGCTCGGTGGCACTGCAGCATACGCGTCCAGACTCCTGAGAGGATAATACTCCAGTCACATTGATAAGACATGATACTGACGATAGACCGAGTGAGCACCGCTAAACCGAATCCGAATCGACCAATGCTTTTCCATTCGGAATTAATGTCAGTGTTGGTGTTGTCTGCATGTTGTCGGTCTGCATGTTGTCGGACTGTTGTCGGTCTGCTATCGGTCTCGTTTGCTTGCCTGAGGTATTACAACAAATGACCAAACATCGGTTTGGAGTCGGTTTGGCAGTGTGTGATGAATACCCGGCCCAGTCACCGGGATGGAACCAACACCAGCTTGACAAAAGATCGAACAAACGTTTAAAGGGATTGGGTATCTTTGCCTCAAATTCTAAAAAGATTCCTGGATTTAGCTCATGCTGCAATCATGATTATATACCTTTAGGTCAGGTCAGTCAGGAATCCCATGACTTTTACAAGCCCATCGCCTGTCTGATTATCAAGATATTTATGATTGGAATTCGAAATTTCAAAAACCGTTCTCCAAACGGTTTTTTTATAACGCCACAGTCTATTGGGGAACATGAGTATGGTAAAAACCGGTCACTCAAAGACTTTACTTTTTTAAAGCACTTCATGATCATTTTGATCATTTTTCTTAGGGCTTCAATAATACACCAATATTACACCATATCACAGGCACTGATAACACGTAGAGCCATGCATCTCAGATTTGTAAAACTGGAAACATTGTTAAACAATACCTTTAAACCACACTGAATACCCCAAATCGGTCAGTTAAGAGTTGGTGTCGAGTCGATTTGGTGTGTGACTATAATATCGCAGTCACGTCAAGACTGACTAACACCCGATTAGCCCAAATACAATGTAGGTCAGATTTGGATCCGGTGTGGAGTCGGTTTGGCGGTTGTGATGGGAGGTTTATACTCCAGTTACGGCGACGAGACCGATACCAGATCAAACATAAACCGAGCGAGCAATAACAATCGTTTGGAATTGAGCTTTCATTATTAGTGTGTG